AACACGAATTCACTTTTTGTTCTTTATAAAACGAAGAACTAATTTTTTGAAGAACAAAAACCCTACTGAAGAACAAAAACGCGAAAATAGGCTGAAGAATATATATTCTGTTCTTCAGTTTTCAAAGAACACATTCGTGTTCTTCACCATGTTCTCCAAAGAACGGAAGAACACAGATTTCTAACAGTGTAGTAATCTCACAAAAGCTGAATTTATAAATTTCAATAGTTTTGATTCTTTGGAACTATGCTATCATCACTGGTATCAGTCCCACAACTACCTCGCGACAAGTTTCGATGGCTGGTGTAATCGAAGAAGAGAAAATTTCTATGTTTTCAAAAGAGACAGAGCAAATTTATATTAGCCAAAATAACGAAACAAAAAAGTTGATTGTGACAAATGATTAAAAACTGATAATTAACGGTCAACGTTAAATGTTAGTTTATTCTGATATTTTCACTGTCCCAAAACGGCATGTTAACGGACACTTCACCACGATGTGAATTTCAGTTTTAGGTACATGTAGTTACATGCATGTTTTTAGATCTGATTTATGGTGAAATAACGGATAAAAAACGGTGACTGTTAATAGGCTGTTGTCCAGCAGTTTTTAGCCGATCAAAAGGCTACTTTTTCATTATGGAGTTAACAGCCTATTCGTAAGTTATTAAATGTCAGTTTTCGTTGACCTGAAAGTACCTAGTGAATATACTCATAAGTAAGTTCTCAACAGCTCAAAGCTGCAGCAGAAGACTCAGATGAGTTTTAAACCAAAGCTGAGAATTTACGTATTTATTGAGTACTCATATGAGCAGTGAATATCAAAGTTGTCAGATACTTAGGTCAGAAAAGCGGAATAAAAAGTCGAAAAAGCCGGAAAAAATTAATTTTTTCAATTTTTTCCGGCTTGGAAATTTTTTCTAAAATGTGGAAAAAAAGCGGAAATCAGAGCTGGGCAGCTTCGGCTCCGAAGCCGACTCGGTTTCTGGAAGCTGTTTCCGTTTATAGACGAGAGCCGGAGCTGGACGTTGAATTCAGAGCCGGAGCCGGTGTGCGGATGATGATATTCGTGTTCGATCGAGGTATAAATGACACTCTTACGGCAGATAGTTAAATGAGTGTGTGCGCTGATGACACGTTAATATATGCTGCCTCAGTCTTGACCTTCTTCTATTAAATGTAACACTTTCGAAAAAAGATTTTTTATGTATACATCATGCAGTTATAGAGTATATTTGTACATCAAAATGATTTTCATTTTCATATTTTTCCTTACTTGAAAGCCTAGAAAATTCAATCAAAAGAAAAATAAGGAAAGATGAACATCTTTTGGAGTCGGAGCCGGAGTCGGAGCCGGATATAAAAGCTTGGAGCCGGAGCTGGGGTGGAGCCGGAACCAGGAGGGGTTGGAGCTGCCCAGCTCTGGCGGAAACGCATTTTTCACCATTTATAAAACAAAATTTATAAAACAGAAAACAAAATTCTTTTTGAGTTAGTCTGAACGAAGACGAAAGGTCTTTGCTGTCAACTGACACTAAATGAAAAAGACAGTCTCTCTTTGACGTTTACAACGGGAGTACTTCGTGCTAGTTGGTTTTTTTGTACGGTGTTTATTCTGATGAAATTATGAATTCTTTAAGATTCAGGGGCCAGTTTCTTAAAAAAACTTAAGTCAAAACTTAAGTGAAAAAATAAGTCACACTTACGTCAAACTTAAGTTTTGACTTAAGTGCGTTTCTTAAAAAACTTAAGTCAGTCAGAGGTCATACAGTAAAAACTATTCGTATTTTAGACAACTTGGATTATTTTACAGCTATTTTCTGGACAAAATCTCTATTATTGTTCAATCAAATTATGGTGAATTGGATGGGTTACTGACTTCAAATAAAGAAGTTACAAAATTTAAACAATTTCCTACTTAAAAGTTTAAGTGAAAACTTAAGTGAAATTAAGAGTTGACTTAAGGCCCACCCCCCACTCAAAAAAAAGGTTATTTTGGTGAAATTTATCGATTTTTTTTAAAATAGCGCATTTGATAGAGCATCACGTCCGCTATCGAATGCACTATAGTTTCTTAATTTTACGATAGGTTTTAAGGGTTTCACACAGGTTTTTCTGAAAACTTCTACCGGAAAAGACGACATTTTTTCGTTATTTTGCGTTTTTCTCAAAATGAGATTTTTTGGTTTTACGTTTTCGTGCGTCCCAAATTTCTTCGCTATTTTGAAAGCTAGAAAGCTCGGGTTTGTTTTAAATCATAGCTAAAGTCTGACACTACAACTTAACAGAGCCCGATTCTTCGATTTCAGAATTGACGTCAGATGCAGAGAAAATGTTTGAGATCCTACACCCCAGTAATTTCATATCGTGACGTAAAAGTTTTATAAAAAATGAACTACAGAGAAATTAAAAAATCGGTCTCTGTTAAGTTGTAGCCCTACATCTTAGCTACATTTTAAAACCAACCCGAGCTCTCTAACGTTAAAAATAGCAGAGAAATCTGGGACGGACGAAGATCCATTTTTGAACCTTAATTGTGAGCTAGCTCTTGATAGGTTTAATATTTCGAGCTGAAATTTTTACTGTGAGGTCATCATACCTAGATACACCATCTCTGAAAGTTTCATTAAGATCGGTTGCTCGTAAGCAGAAATGGATTTTTGGGTGGGGGAGGTGGTCCTTAAGTTAAGTAATGTTTGAGAAATACATTTAGCCAAAAAATTTGACTTAAGACGAATTTTTCACTTAAGTTTTGCTTAAGTTTTTTTAAGAAACTGGCCCCAGCTTAGTTTCTACATATACACTCTGATTTTTTTCAACTCAAGATAATTCGTTGCTATTAATTATTAGAAAAAACGTTTCCTTCTCCATTTATTCCTCATTAAAGTTCTTGACTATAGGAGAACACAATCTCTAAATCTTCATCCGATAAGTGGCGACATCACAGCGCAATAATTTTGAATGGTTTTAGTTTATGTTTGCAATTTAAATAATGAGATACAGTTTTAGTTTAGGATATTTTGCTTCGGGTACTTTTTCCACAAGACTACTGTCAGGAGGACTAGCTGTGCAATGTAAAAGATGGCAAAAATTTTGTTTGTTTGTTTATTTTTTAACAATCATGTTGAGCACCGACATATAGCAAGAACAAAGTTTTTCAATAAACGTAGTTTTTGATTCTTTATGTTGATTGTAACAATTTACTGCTAGCTTGTTTTTGGTATATCCTAAGTATAAAGTCGTTAAAAAACATTCAGAAAAAAGTTTTATAATAACACGAGTTAACAGCTTGGAACAACATCTCTTTATTCTGAACATCATAGTAGTAGAACCAGCGGCGTACGCAAGAATTACACAAGGGGTGGGAACAATCAGGTAAATTTTTTTTATCAAAAATACTTTTTTCTCCCTTTGGGTACTTACGCTACAATCTTGAAGGGAAAATCATGGCTGTGCAGACCATTATTACAGTATTGAGCGAGGCGGAACGTTTCTCTTGTGTTTTAATACTCAAGAAAAAACTGGTTTAGTTTCACAAGGTACGTTCAGACGCACAATCTTAACTTGATTCATCTCTGTTGTTGTCAAGTGAATGCGCTTGATGATAACTCAATTTAGTGCTTCATTTCTAGATGTACAAGACGGCTTGACTTTCCATCTGCGCTATTTCTGACGAACTTTTCCGGGACAATGCGTGGAAAAAGAGGAGGAAGAAGTAAGGCATCTTCGTTTTCCTTAGCATCACATCACAGTAAATACAAAAGAACCTTCCTGACTATAGCATCTATTCATCCCTCGTCCTCCCTTACGAAGATGTGCGAACTAATTATACTCATCGTATTTTTCCGTTTGTTTCAAGAGAAGAAGCGTTACATAATGCACCTATGCTTCTCTACGTTCTATTCCGTAAAAAAAGTCAGAGTGTCTTAGACATCTTTTATTGATTTAGTTATATATCATTGTTCATTTTTACGTTTTTTAGAAATTCGTATGGCAGCACAGCAAACTAATATGCGTCGTCATAGGTATTAAGCCTTTTCATAATTAATCTGAAAGCACACTTGAAATGATTCAAACTTTTTTAGAAATTCAAAAGATGATGATAATATCAGTGTTATTTGTTATAAAGATCCGGAGACGAAGCGAGTGGGTATATTAAGAATTCATCAGCAAATTACATGCGACGCATGTATGGTTGTACGTGGTACATTATCGGCATATCGTAGACATTTATTGACTCAAAGTCATTGTGATAGTGTTCGAAAATTGTGTGACGAAAATAAATACATGCCATCGATTTATGATAAAGCATTTCATCTTGCTTTTCAAAATGGAGTAAGTAACAAAAGAAGATTATAAAACAAGTACATAACTAAGCGTAAAGAAAATCTGAAGGATCACAAGACAAAGAGAGAGAGAGAGAGAGAAAATGGTTTTACTTTACTTTCCTTCAGGCGTTTTCCGTCTTATATGTTTAATCTTTCTAGTTTTAGAAAGGCATTTAAAGGTGTTTTTCCTTGTGTTTAGTTCGATTATCAAAGTGAACGTTTTCATTTTTTATATAAGCAACAAGATGATAATGATCAAAAATCTTCAGCGACAAATATCATCAATACGATGACAGATACAAATGAGCCAAAAATGGATAGTGTAAATGATAAGAATGTTGATGGAGCTGAACTAGTTGTTTCGATAAACGAAACTTCCATGAAATCTGATACTGTGAAAAACACAACACCGTTTAAAGTTAACAATAATCAAAATAACAAAACGAAACGTCGTTTGGAAGTTACATTGGTATTTCAAAATAAAAAGTATTTAATGGTTGGAACAGAATTAGCATTAATAAGAGCAAAATTACTCGAAGATTTAGTGATCGAGCGTAATTCAGACGTAGCTGCATTTCCGATGAGTGTTTATTATAGAAAAAGTAAGGACACAATATTGAGTTTTGGAGCATATTTCTAAACAAAAATGTCAGCTTTTAGTATGAGTTGAATACTTTGAATACGTATAGAATGAGCTTCTAGTGAGAAAGTTGGTTGACAATGCATTTTTAGAAATGTATTAATATAACAATGATTTAAAAATGTTAAGAATTTTCCACTAAAGATCGTTAGCTTATACATAACCGTATTTGGTTTTGGGTTTTTTCTGTTGAGATTATCCCTATAATAAGCATATAAAAACTTTGTACACATCTAATTGTAGAAAATAGTACGATTGATGAATATCAACAGTTGCAGACGAGTTCTGATAATATCATCGATGAATTAAATGTCAAATCGGCATCAAGTGTCGTGAACAATAATAATAATAATCAGAATTCAGCAGTAGTATCATTACCAGGAGAAGCTGCTAGTTCCTCTGGTACTACCGATAGTGTTGGTATCGACGAAAATGAGGATGATACAAATTTACAAATGAAATTCGATGATATCGATACTATATCAGTTGTGCCATGTACAGTCAAGCGCTATATAGGATGCCCATGGCATGTGAGTCCAGAGATGCCCATTAATGAAACAGTGCAGCAGGACGATGAAAGCACATGCAAGGTAATATCACTTTTTTCATGTAACTCTTTTTTTTCTCCTTCTTTCCAGTTATATATCAGAAAAAATAAATAAATAAAGAAAAAATATGTCAGCTGTATGCACTGCCCTGTTAAGATCGTTAAATAAACGGAATTAAAATCACATTACTTCCTTTCTATTTGATCTTTTATTTTTTCGAATTTCTTATTGTTTACTGTACTTGTTTCTTTGTTTGTTTTTTCCACTATATACAGCATGTGATTGATTATTTGGTTTATGAAACATACGTACATGGTGAACGGCAACGTTTAAAATCGTTTATGTTAGCCTCAGCCAGAAGAAACTTTCGAAAGAAAAATATGTATTATTGTGATATATGTTGTGTTCGTGTGACATCCGAGATAAATTTCTTTTTGGTACGTAAATAATTTTAAATCGTTTGTAGACAAATTCTTTAATTTCTAGTCCGCCTTTATTTTTAGCATTTGGAAGATCCAAAACATATTCGAAATTTCTCTGATTTTAAAAATGCATTTCTTCCATGGAGAAAAATAATGCATATGGTAGTAGTCTGCAGCTTTTTTTTGTGTCAATACTAAAAAAAGTCGTTTGTCTTTTTCTAGAGTTTGTTGACGGGTAAACCATTCAAAAATCTAATGGGACCAAATTTGTATGAAGAATATAAGCAAACATTGGGATTTTATTGTGCGCCCACTGAATTCGTAAATCGTGGTCGATTTATGTGCGCCTATTGTGAACAGTTATTTCATGACCAATGGTTATTGGAAAAGGTACACACTCTTATCTTAGTTCTTTTCATAAAAGATCTAAATTATTATAATCTTTTTTCTAGCATTTACATACAGCAGAACATACGGCAAAAAAGTCAGCATATGAAGACAAAGATCACAAAGAATTAGTTGTTGTAAGTGTAAATCTTTCAATTTTTAAATGATTGAGAAATATTGTTCATATAGTGTATCTGATTGTCCTTGAGTATTCTTAAGAAATTTTATTTGATCATACTAGATTCTATTATATTTTAGCGTTTTGCTAATAGTTTATTTGTGCCAGCCATATTTCGTTATAATGGCATTACTGAATTAGCTGATATTCATCATGATATAAAAAGTCGTTACAATTGGCGTTTTATAACACGTACACAATTGAACGAAGATACAAATGTTTTTCTTAATAATTATCCATATGATACATTTGAAGGTGTAACACGTGTTAATATGGAAAATGAAAATATTAAAAATGGTTTAAATAATCATCCACCACAACAGCAGCCAGCACAATTTTCAAGACGAGGCACTGGTACACAATTTCCCAGCTGGAGAAAATTCTATCCTAACAGATCATTAGTCAATAATATAGCGGCCGGTGGAAAAAAAGTTGGTAAGTATTTTGTCGAATGTAAAAGTGTGATAGATACTCTAAGAATATTATTTGTTGCATTTTAGGGCAACCCCCTAAACGTTCAAATTCTGTATCTGTGAACGGTGGTGTTAAACGTTTTCGCAATGAACTTCCTCCTCCTTTACCTAATACAAATACAAATTTACATCAGAGAAGAAATGGTACACTCGCAGGAAGAGGCCAGCGAGCAAGAGGTCGTGGTGGACATATTCCGTTGGGTCATCAAAATTTTCGTTCTGAAACACAAAACCTATTTCCTATGAATGTTGGAAGGCAAACAAATATGGATAATAGAGACCCGAATTGGAATAATAATAATTTTTCTGCACGTCCAGCTTATCAACAAAATATACAACCGGGCATTTACTCACAAGCTAGAGTGGCCTCGTCGTCATTCGGTGATGCTGGTTATTCAAACTATTCTTCTTATGGTACCACAGAAAATTACGATCCAAATTTTATTCATGCCGTGGCAAGAGCGGTTGCTCAATATCGCCCAGAAACAACGACAAATCTTAATCGACAAATTGTTAATCCTGGAAATGCAACTAATGAACTTATTCACCATGTTGCAAAGTAAGTTTAGTTTAGAGCAAAATGTATTGACTGTTTGGACTGACGGACACAGAAAATTGTAAACGTTCGGAAAAGATTTTACATAAACTATTAACTAATCATACATAATCTCGGATAATATTTGATTCTAGTACCATACAGCGATCGACTCAACCAGTACATCAACCAGCCTCGATGAACTATTCAAATCGTCCTCAGTCTGATTCATTTGGTACATCATATAATACAGGTCCAATTCGTACTTACGCCGATTATCGTTCATCAACCGGCCCCTCTTCATATCCACCTAGCACAACATACACTCCATCTCCAGCGTATTCATCTTTTGGTAATACATCATCGTCATACGCAATACCATCGAATGATTATACTGCATCAAATAATTCGACTTACAATCGTTTTGACGATACGATACCACAACAAAATTATTCATCATTTTCTTCTAGTCGAACGTTCAATTCATCACAACATCAACAACACTTCTCTGATCCTATACGGTCAGGAGATTCGTCATACAGAAATCAACATCAACAACGTCCAGGTATAGGTGGAATATATCGCGGACAACGAGGGCATGGTGGCAGAAATAATAGAGGTATGAACAATGGTAACAATATAAATCATCAGCCGGGTAAACAAGGACAAACGTTTTCTGGAGGAAGAAATCATCGTGGACAAAATTTTAGTAGTCAACGTTAACACTTTTGATTTCTTTTCTTTTGTTTCATAAAAACTCGTTTTATTTTGTTAAAGACAATCAAATATATGTAATTTAGTCATTTATCAGAACATAGTTACGTGTTTGTATTTCTATCCTTTTGTTTTGTACAGTTATCTTCTATTGGTTTCCAGTGTTTGCCTGTTGTAACGCAATCTGTTAACGTCTATTTTCTTTTCTCAGTAGATTAATTTTTCGTTTTCTCGTTTATTTGTTCAATATTTCATCTACACCCGCAACTGGAAATGTATTGTTGTTTTTCTACGTTTCTCGTTGATAGTATGTCTTTTCTTCGTCATGAGAACTTGTGTCTTTGTATTGATATTTTTTTCTTGGATATTTATGTTAAGTTTTATTCTCTTGTTGTTCATTTTATTCGAACTTATTCAGTTCGCTCTTTCAAAAAGCAATAGTGTAATTTGTTTTTTGCAAACATTGATACAGTCACTGAGTAGAGAGACAAATTAAACTTTTGAAAGATGTTGCTATTTTTTCGTTCGATGATCTTTGTCCTTGCCTCTACTGTTACAACATATTGGGACATTTTGTTATATATGCTGTTAGATCAATAGTAGAAAATAGAATGAAATAGAATAATGAGTGAACATTTTTTAGAATGGTATGGAATTGTTTATTTCTTTTTACAAAACTATACTGACAAAAAAAATAATTTTAAAAAACTATAAAAGTTTTCGAGTCTTCGCTCTCATCGTTCATTGTTTGTTGTTGAAAGAATTAATATTCAAATAGAGGAGGATTACACGTGATGTCTTTTGGAATAATTAATACTACAAGCTTCAATATTTGAAAAAAACTAGAAAAAAATTGAACTTCATATCATCCAGTGTATTAATCAAATAATGACAAATATGTGGATAAAATAAAAGCTTTTCAATATGATTTATCGTTCGTTCACATAAGAAGCATAATATCTAACTTGCACAACTGAGACAAAATTACAGCCCTACTGTTAGCTAGTAGAACGCTGAAATTCTGTATAAGAAAGTAGAAAATAGTGTCGTACAAATAGACTAAGTTGATACTAAATTCAATTTTCAAATCTATTGACGTTTTATCTTCACAAGTTATCCTAACATCCAAATCAGTGATAATATTGTGTAAAAAAATCTTGAATAGTATTTTTAAATCAATTTCACGATGCATTAAAAATAAATTAATGATCTTTGTTAATGCTGTACTTCTTTTTTTTTTACTTTCAAGATCGGCACTACGTCGCATCGATGTCGAATTTGTCATCGATTGATACTTGTTGGGTACCCGTGAACATCACTGCCACCTAGTAACAGTGATACATATTGGTGAGCATTGACCATGACTCTTTTATATTTCTCAGTCGGACTAATGTAAAACTTGAACATTTTTACATTAAACAGAAATCGTTTTTCCTGTAATTTGGTACAAATAACTCTAGTAGTATGCTTACTTCAATTATAAAATAAATTAAAAATCTTATAAAAAATCCTTGATTTATTAAATTGTTAAAATTAAATATTTTCTATAATCTACAAATGTTACTGTCTAAAACTATGATTGGGGAAAAAAATCAAACTTTATTAATTGCTTAAAAATTAAAACTAAAAATCGTCAAAAATTAAAATTATTGTAAATTAATAAATTCAAATAACTTTTAAGAAGTTTTAAACTTTGAAACACAAACAAAGTGTATTCATAGGTAATCGACTATGGCGCATCTGATGGACGTATGTTCGGAGGTCATAAAGGTCTCCAGAGGATCTGAAGCAAACCTTTTCGGAAATATTGGGACTTGAAATTGAAACAAAAAATCTTAATGATGAATAGATTACGGCATATGTGGGTCGTAATCAATAGTTATGGGCATATAATCAATAGTTTATGAGGATTTCCAGTGAGTTTCCAAAGGATCTCCTTTTGTTTCAACTTCAAATCCTGATATTTCTGAATATTCTCTGGGAATTGCAAACATATGTCCATTGGATGTGCCATAGTCGATTATCTATGAATGCACTCTGTCTGCAATTGATATTTATATAGTGAGAACCCAAATCCGCAGGTAAACGATTTCTAAAGAATCTTATGAAAAAGACGAGAAAAAAACATTTTTAAAATTTCTTATCATACATTTGTTTTATAGCACTAACAGTACAATACACCGAATTTTGAAAGAAATCCATCTTGGGCATCAAAAGTTATAGGCAGTCCGGTTGAGAAATATAAACGAGTCATATGAAACTATTTTTTATCAGTATGACACTGAAAATTAATTTTTTGTACAGATTATCTACTCAGTTTCAAATCGATCCACAATAAACCAGAATAAATATTTTAATGATGTAAAGTGTTTTTATGCAAAAAGAAAAAATATTTATTATTCAATGAAAATAAGTGATTTAATTCAAAAAAATATTATTTTATTCTATGTCAAATAAATTAATAAAAAAGAAGGGTAAAAGTAGTAAGACGAAAAGAAAAGAAAATCACTTTAAAAGTAAACAGTGTGCAAGACGTTACGTTAAAATGCACTTCAATAGTATAACTAGAATGCAATTGTGCTACGCACAAGTTACAGTGTTGATAGACAATGTGGACATTTCCAACTGCTGATTTGGACTAACGAGCGGATTTCAAGCATTGATTTTGTTGGAATTTCTGTAGCATCAAAAACATCTGAACCAGAGTATCAACCACAGTATCAATCAGCAAGGAAATTAGCACACTTTTGAGGCTATGTACTTAGGTGGCACAACACCAGAGTAAACCATCTTTAGCCAAACACATAAAAGATAAGAAGTAGTAAATATTATAAGGAAACTTGTAGCAATTCCAGCGGAGTAATTATCGGTTCTTCTTTCTTCTTATTGTGATTAATATAAACTGTTTCAACAATTAATGAATAAATTTTTAAAATTATTTCTCTTTTCAATGAAATTGTTCGATGTATCGTCTATGTTTTAAAGAACTGGTAATCACTTGGTATATTTAGTAGATGCATGTATGCGGGAAAAGAAATTCACTAATTAGAAGATATGTACATAGATTCATTTCTCAATTCTGTCTGCAAATCAAAAAATATGACGCCGATTCGGCGTCGTCGAACAACTATTAACAATTAAAAAATTCGAAGTCCAAGACATATTTTTCTTCCACTTGTGAAACTCATCTCGCCGAATCTGGACGGTTGTTTAAAAATAGAACGTGAAATGGTCCACATTCAGTACCCAGAGAGCTATCTCCCATTTTCAGAATGTCTCTACGTTACGTAGTTCTCTAGATCATACGACTTACTTTTTGCAAAAACGATGACTAAACAAGAAAAAAAAATCCCTGCAACAAATACAAAATGTCTGTATTTCAATAAAAAAAACAATATTTTTTACTTTCTTTTTAATTTACAGTTAAATGGATAGGTGTGAGAAAAGATGAATCCTAATATCCTGTTTTCCAAAATCGGTTCGTATATGTTAGTGTCCAAACTCCGATTCAGGCCAAATTCCAATCGGAGTTTGAACTAGTCTCAACTCCGATCGAAGTTTGATCTGTAATTTCAGTAGTCCAAACCATGATCGGAGATTCAAACATCGTCATCAAATATAGTGGCGAGGAAATACCACTGATAACAGCTTCAAAGCTTTTTGTTCGTAATGCTTTCAATGATGTCACTTGGTCATGCAAAGGTGATTGCAAAAATAATCAATGTGCGTACAAGAAAAACAAAATATTCTGTTCGAAAAATATCATTAACATCCAGCCACCTGTCTAAATCGAGAAAAATAAACAAGTCTGTGCCTCAAACTTTTTGGTTGGATGTTCTCTTCATCTGTATTCAGTTAAGTATTTCTATTATAACTTTACTATTTCATATCTGTTTTGTCTAGTCCACTTTGAGTTTGGCTTGAGGAAATTTTTAATCTTAGTGTGGCCTAGGTCAATCAGAGTTTGAACTAGAACAGTTACTCCAATGGACTGCAATTTTTTCTTTCAACCGAGATTGGCCTAGTCGAATCTCCGATCATAGTTTGGACTACTGAAATTACAGATCAAACTTCGATCGGAGTTGAGACTAGTTCAGATTCCGATTGCAATTTGGCCTGGATCGGGGTGTGGACGCTGACATATATATTATTTATTCTAATTCAATAAAGAAATTTTTTTAAGAAACTTTTTCATCAGATACTAAGACAAACAAATATTTGCTTTTTTAAAACTGATTACTTGAATTATTTTTACATAGCTTAATTATAATATATTGGTATATGTTGGTTTATAAATAAAATAATTTGTTTTCTAAAAGAAATTGAAAAGAAGAAGGAACTGTATTCAATTAAATAATTCATGGCGTGAGAAGAATAACGACAGGTAGGATTTTCGTTTTTAAAAAATCAATTGTACCGAAAAATAATTCAAATTTTATTTACTATTTTTGATTTTTGTCACAAATAAAGCTACTCTTATATATTTATTTATGTGTTAATTCTAGGAATAAAGGATTAAATATAATAATTTTAGATAGGTACTGTTTGTTTCTCTTAACACTTTCACACATCGATGCAAGTCTTTTCGTCTTGCTTTTTCTGTTTCACAAAGACTATGAATGATAAAAATGATTTTTTTATGTTAATAAATATAATTCAATCTTTCTTAAATGTTAGATAGATTATTCTATCATTGTCGTTCATATAATGATAAAACTAAAAACAAAATCAACAACATTCTCCATAATGGTTCTAACTATTTCACTTCTTTTCTTTTTTTGCCTTTTTAAAATCTATGTATTCTTATAGTGTAGACAATATATGTGTTTTTTAAAAATGTAAGTTGATTAAATGTTAGAGCAATATATCGTATTTTATTAATCTCTCATTGATTTAAAAAAAAACCTGTTGTCCATTGTTTGGTAAGCGAACGAATCTATATTGAAGTTACAATAATAGTAAACACGTGAAATATAATGGTACTACTGTTTTAATAAAACCGCAAAATAGACAATTTGAGATATATTTTTATCCGATGTATACATTTACCAATGTCTGAAATATTTTAAAATCTGATAAAATTTAACTAATTTATTCTGGTATTAATTTACATGAGATTGTCTTTATCGGAAAAAAAGGATCCCGCTGGTTTTTAGTGGAAATTCGCCTAACTCAAAATGAGATTAAAAGTATGTGGTTAGATACGGAATGAAAAACTGCATCGATTACTGTTTTCCATTTTGTTAGAAACTACTTTGTTGAAAAACTATGAATTCTTAAAATTGTGCAGTTTTGCTGGAAAATAGATATCATCAAGCAAAACAATTCTTCCTGCTATTTACGTGAATTTCAGTTTTACTCTTAAAACTGCCTGCGAGTACAGTCTATCTATTGTACATAAAATAATTGGAAAATTTTTTGTCCTAGCTACTGACAAGCAAATTTTGGGTCTAATGTCAATAAACATCAATTTTTTTCACTTATTTTCCACTTCTAATAAGAACTAATGCCAAATTTGTAATATAAGGATAAAACCGCATAAAATACGCTATTTTAGAAGTGTACATATAATGCCTATGGTAAACCACGAAGTTGAGACAGCTTTTTGCAATTGAAATGCATATTTGAGTATAAATGCGCTGAGTAAAACCATAGGCATGAGTCCTGTTTTATAGAGTTTTTTCTTCGCTACAAAGCCTTATATTTAGATATTTCTAATTCGAAACAGGAAGCTGTGTCTTTTACAATAGGTAAGCATCTTAGTAAAAAGCCAAAGTCTGGAATGCACATCAGTCAATTCAACTTGTGATGCTGATTCCAAATATGATATTGATTTTGCAAAAAAAAAAATGGAAGTTTGACGGCGAAGAGAGCCACAATTTTAAGAATTCATAGTTTTTCAACAAAGTGGTTTCTAACAAAATGGAAAACAGTAATCGATGCAGTTTTTCATTCCGTATCTAACCACATACTTTTAATCTCATTTCGAGTTAGGCGAATTTTCACTAAAAACCTCCTTTGTATGATGTTTAAACTGTACAAATCAAAATCGAACTAGATAGTGTTTAAAAAGAAGAAAAGTTTTTTCTAACCTTGTCAAATAAGTATGAATGTTGGATCATATGTTGTTTTTTCTTGTACAAGGCTTGTTTTTACTCTATCATAGGCATACCAAGTACCTGGATTGAATTGCGGTGACGTTTTATTAATAATTACCTTTATCACTGTCGTTTATATGATGAAAAATAAATAGCAATAAAATCACTTATTTGATTGATCATATGGATAATATTGCATATAGTCATTCTTGTAAGTTACTCTATACAAGTTTTCATACCAGCTGATAAAATATGTAAGGTAAAATACATTAAAAACGAATCTATGGCCATACATATCACGCTAAGGAATTTTTTTATTTCAAAAAGGTAAAATAAGGAATCTAATTCATCTATCAGTCAATAGTAATCTAACTTAACTATCTCACAAAAATAAAAAAACATAATTATTAGGTTATGTGAAAATCGACACAAAAACACAATAACCGTAATATTAAAATATTGTTTAGTATCAGACATATGCACACGGTGGTTATAATATAATATCATTAGAAAAATAATGTCTAACAAGGTGATTTTTGAGAACAGCACTTAGTCTTTCTCTCTTGTTCGAAGGATCTATTTGTATAGTTGAAAAAACAGTCGGATAAGCATATATCACATGTTTTCTTCTCTTATCTCGCACACAACTGTTTTTAGAACAAAATAGATCCAACCTCATCGCAATCATCTTCTGCTTATGTAGCGGACGCAACTGATCGATCAACACCAACACATCGAAAAGCCAGTGGCGTGAGTTCAACGGCAAGTCAAAACAAGAACCCTCATAGACGTATATCGACTGGATCAGTTTTGAACAATGATCGCGCAAGTATCGTATTACCAACAGATAAAACAACACTCAAACGACATCTTAACTTATTCTCCGGTGTTTGTTTCATTGTTGGAATTATCATTGGTAAGACAAGACACTTGTTCTCTTTGAAGTATTTGTTGACCCATTGCGGAGAATTTGCAAATTCTTCAGATTGTGAATAATATTATTTTTTTTCATCAGGTTCTGGAATTTTTGTTTCACCAAAAGGAGTTCTTAGACGAACAGAATCCGTAGGTCTTTGTCTTATTATATGGGTAGGTTGTGGAGTAGTCTCATTACTAGGTAAGAAATATTAATAAAAATATCAAATGAATATATTATATATCTTCATCATAATTTAAGGTGCCCTCTGCTATGCGGAAATTGGAACTGTGATTCCTAAGTCAGGAGCAGAATTAGCCTATATGAAAGAGGGCATTGGATCTGTGCATCCTATCACGGGTGATGTGTTGGCATTTGTATTTAATTGGGCAAATACGTTTGTTCTTAAACCTTCCAGTCTTGCTGTACTAGTTTTAACATTTTCACAATATTTTTTATCCGGCATCATGGATGGTGAGTCATTACTGCTGAATGACTATACCGTACTCTATAAATCTATTTTTGTAAATAGAATGTGGGCCACCAGAGGAGTTGGTAAAAATGTTAGCAATATTTAGCCTCAGTAACTGGTTTTAATTCAAAGTATCTACGATGTTATATGGACTATTGTATTTCTAGTAATGATTAGTAATATCAATTCATACAGTGTCAAAGCAGCGAATAGATTAAACATCTTCTTTGTCATTAGTAAAACTATAACCATTCTCATGGTCATTTTAGCGGGTATTGTGCGTTTAGGGCAAGGTAATTATATTCATTTTTTTTCCACAAATTTGCTGTTAAAAAGTAATTATGAACAGGTCACACCGAACATTTACAAAATGGTTTTTCTGGTAAGTTGTATGTTTTTGTAATAGGATATTATAATTGCTTTTGTTCATTTGATACTTTTAGGAACTACAAGGAAGCCACTAGCAGTTGCTCTAGGTACATGTCTAAGTGATACTTTTCTTAAGATTAAAACGTTGCTAATGTCATGCTTAATAGCCTTTTATAGTGGTCTGTGGGCCTATGATGGATGGAACTCTTTAAATTCTGTTACAGAAGAACTAAAAAATCCAAAGCGGTAAGACAAGGACTATACGATGTTCTTTAGTCTGTGGTAGAACTGATAGAAAAAGAACCATGCCGTATTAGCATAAGCACCCATGCTAATGCATGTACGCGAACGAATCAATTTTGAAACTATGGTTTGCTTGCGCATTAACTTTAATTATTCTTGTTTACACTACATCAAAGAACATACCTTGGTAGGATCCATCAAAATATCTTTTTTTTCAGTAATTTGTGGTTAGCAATAGTGTTGGCCGTTCCTTCGGTGACTATGTTATATTTACTTACCAATATATCATATTTTACCGTACTAAGCAAAGCTGAATTACTGAGTTCGAGTGCTGTGGCAGTAGTAAGTAACTTTGACGATATACTTTCTCATACGAAGAAGAAGAAAACTATGATTTTAGAGCTGGGGTGAAGTGGTACTTGGTCCTGCTGTTCGAGTATTACCAATATTAATTGGAATTAGTGCTTTGGGATCAGCTAACGGTAGTTTATTTACTGCAGCAAGGTGGATAAATATGTAACAAAAAAAAAACTATATGTTTTCATAACTCGATTCTCGGTTTAGATATTGTATGGTTGGAGCTCGGTATGGATATTTGCCCGAAGTGTTTGCATGCATTCAAAGATCGCGTTTAACACCATTACCCGGCATTGTACTCCAAGTAAAATATGTCTGGTTTATAATACGATTGATCAATCTATCGAATCTCTTTTGTGTTATATTCTAGGGCACTCTGGCAATTATATTTTGTATCCCATCTAATATTGATCAACTCATTGACTTTTTTAGTTTTGTTGCATGGACGTTTTATGGTTTAACATTTTTAGCCACATTATTTTGCAAATTCACAAAACCAAAGGCAGACAGAGTGATTAATGTGAGAAATTTTTAAAAATGATCGATCTTTGCATTGATTTAGCAACATGGTCTAGAATTTTAGAAGATTTTTTCAGGTTCCAATACCAATTGTCATTATCGTCATTCTTATTTCAATTTATCTTGTTTTGGCTCCAGTGATTAGCGATCCCAATTATGGTTTCTTAGTAGCAGCAATTATAGTTCTCTTTGGACTCGTCTTGTATTATCCATTTGTATATAAAAAAGTCGAGTTCAGATGTATGCGTAAGTGTACCGACTTTTTTATTTAGTTCGATAAATTTTAATCTTTCTTGAAATTAGAAAAAAAAAGAAATATTATAGAGAAACATCGCATAAGGCCTGACAAAATACTATCGTGTCATTTTAGAACGTGTCAATCTTTTCCTTCAAACATTCTTCGATTTACAAATAGCGGACGTTAATATAGAAACATAACCAATCCATATTTTTTTGTTAGTAATACATACATTTTTCAATAAACTTTCCAACTATTCATCAAACGTTTATCAAAAAGGTGTGATTTGTATAACACTTCGAAACGTATATCTCGTCTTCTACTGAACCAAACTTTAAAAAAATTGTGATTAACTTCATAGTAATTATCCTTCTTCCAGACGAAAACCTACGGTTTTATCTGCTTTCGATCACAAGTTATAGTACAAGTAAGATAACAGATAGTGGTTTCTAACACCATCTATCGAGAAAAACCTAGTTTTTCGTCTCTATCAATATATGTATTAAGTTGTGTCACGATTTGTTTGGATTTTTGTTCTTTTTTTACTTCCAAAATAAGTCTGTGGTGGAATTTGAGCCTCTAGAGCCTTATACTTTTGGAGAAAACTGCATTTTATTTAAAGAATGTGCACCTTTTCGTTTGCAAGATCTTCACTGCATATGTGCTGACTAGGCAACGGAAATAGCAAAAACGATCATTGTTTTAGTTATTGTGCGTTCGAAAAAAGGATGGCAGTGATTGTTTTTTGACTAACTTCTGGCTTTACATATCGAGAGACTCGCGACCTCCAAAAGAGAAGATTTGACAGAAACTTTTCATAATGAACATCATTTTAAAAATCATTCTTCAAAAAAGGTTTTTTAGGATATCTTTGAAAACCTGAGTCATTACTCAAAACATTGAATAGTGACGCTCATTTTTTTGCAAGATTAAACAGCGCCAAGTGTCCTTGTCAAAATGGGAGTCGAGCGATCTCTTAATTTTTCGTGATTCATGCATGTAACGGATTTTGGAGAGTCGAGAATTCGTGTTTCTTTAGGTGCGGCAATCCCGAAAACGAATGAGAACATAGGCTTATGATAGGAAAAAATGGATACCTGTACTTAATAAAGGTTTGTTTCTAAATCTTTTTGAAAAAAAAACATTGTCACGAGACTCTGCATGATCTCTTCGACACCATAGTGTAAATTAGCCATAACAGAGCCATTATAATATATACTGAGAAAGCAAACATTAACGTTGACCACTGTATAGGAAAGCGTATGTTCGCGTTATCTATGATTTTTCCATCATTATCCATCAAATAAGTTGAAAATTTTACAATGACTGATAAGATAATGATAAGATAAGAGATCTGGATTTCGCTATTTTGAGCATACGGTTGGATAGTTATGAGTTCAGCAGACAAGAATATATCGTCGAGACACCTCAGAATCACGTTCGGTAATCATGCGAAACTGATCATTCTTTTCAGATAGTTTTTTTTATGAATTTCCAGAAAACCTGTGACGTGTGTCACCTGTGTGTGTGTCTTTCTAGTGGCAAATGTTACCGAACCATCACGCTTGTTCAAATATTCGAGCTCTACTACACGCTTTTTTTGGAAAATGTTTAGCTTCTCAGAAAGTTTGATGCTTAACTTCTAACAAAACAGGAATTTCTTTTTCTTTCTTCGCGTTAAGGTTGTGTCTAAAGGTACACATCCATAAATACGTGGGATAACTCAAGTAAAATCGTGGCGGCTTGTCCAACTAACGGCCTCCATTTTTTGCTTTTTTTCCAAAAGTTATTGCAATACAAACTAATCTAAAATGGCCGTAACTTCTCAAAAGAGATACAAAGCTGTCCTAATTGACGTTGCAAGATCAAACAACATCAAAGGGGGAAGGTGAAACTGAGTGTGAATTTGCAAAAAAAAGCATCTCTTTTGAGACGTAGCCTAAAATGGCAACTAGATGATTAAGTAGATTAAACATTTCTCTACAAAATGGAAAGTGTCTCGGCTCTGAACGTTGATTCGTTATGAAAATACAGCTGCTGTACAAACAGCCCCAAAAATCGATTTTTGGGCTATCTGAAAAGCGTGTGGAAAAGAGTGAAGACGAGCTGGTAAACATTGAACAAGTATACAAGTTTGTAGAAACTTGTTCGCTCTACAAGATGTGATCAGCCGTTACAATTTATTACAAGATAAATAAATTGCGCCGTTTCTAGAATAAATGGCTTATCCACACTTATTTGGGAATAAATGGCTCCCTATCGTGCCAAGAAAAAATGTCTCGTAGGAGGGAATTTCTAGCATAAATGGCTCTTTTCTAAAATAAATGGCTTTTTTCCTAGAATAAATGGCTCTTGTACTTGCATAAATGGCTCCTATCGTGCAAAGAAAAAATGTATCCTAGGAGTAGAGCCCTGCATTAGATGGACATGTCCATGAACATGGACGGACATGGACAAAAAAAAATTGTCCATGCAGGTCTCTAATTCTCATACGCAAAACGTATTTGAAAAACGCGAACATTTCATGGACAAACTGATGGACATGGACAGAAAAACACTTTTGTCCATGGACAAAAAAAAATTGTCCATGCAGGTCTCTACCTAGGAGGGAATATCTAGCATAAATGGCTTTTTTTCTCGAATAAATGACTAAGCCATTTATTGCTTCCTAGAATAAATGGCTGTATGGACGACGAGAAAAGCTTAGCACTGGAGTTCGTTCCCTAGACAAAAAAAGTTTGTGAAATCGTATAAAAATCTCACAAGAATTTATAAGAAATTGGTAAGAGTCAGCAAAACTCGTACGTTATTCTTATCAGATTATTATACGATTCTTATAAGATTCGTGTAGGATTCTTATGAGAAACATGATCGAATCTCCTACAGAAAATTCCCAGTATAGTGCTGAAAAACGGCCGGCACTACCAGTGCGGACGGCATGCTATGTTACAGTATGTTATAGTATGTTACGTACGTATCTACGTACTAGTTCCACATTTTTCCAGTCACCGTTTGTTATCTACGATTGCACTATGTTTTACTCGGACTTTTCTTCGAGACCATAGTGCAACGAAATTTTAATGCGAGCAGACTTTTTAATGCTTTGATCTTGTTATAATCTTTATCTGAAAAGGAAAAATCAGTATAAACAGCGAGTCAGGTAGTAAATTCAGCTCTCTGTTCCCTTATCTAAATAGGTCTCATTTTCTAGTGTAAAAAAGTACCTTATATAACAGACACTGTTTTACGTCTCGTTTAAAATGAGCAAAAAACGTTCGTATCGTCAATTACACACGTGGCGAGAGTATATGTATACGTTTATATCACGTAGATAAGCACGTGCAGCAATCTGTTATTCTCTAACAGTTTGAAGCAACATGCTTCCCATAGACGTATGCGCACGGAGCATTCGGGCTCAGCCATTCCGCCTCATTCGCAGAATATTAGATTGGCTCTAATAACGACCTGATCCTAGTGATAATATATACGGACATACATTCTCTGCAAGCCCAAGCGTGAATGTTTTCTTCACGTATGGCTAGCGTTACCTTACGGTAAACCTCACAGGCAAGCTATAAACTATTTAACCAATCTCACTTTTATTCTGTGAGTTGTTTCTTTTTAAGCAACTCTTTTATATCAAAAGTTTTTCTTTTTCACTTTTTGTTCCTCATAAGAATCTTAAAAGAATGACAAAGTATGCTAGAGGTCATTTACGCTACAGATTAATAAATGCCAGAGTCATTTATGCTAGGAAAAAAGCCATTTATGCTAGAGAACCCTAACTGGAAAGTAATAAATAGCGGAGCCATTTATGCCAGACAACCTTTCCGGATAGACAAATTATGAAAGAGAAGGAGCAGTTTATGCTGGAGAGTAATAACTGGCTATGCCATTTATGCTACGAAAAAGCCATTTACGCCTGAAATAACCCATCTATGATAAACAACCTTCCCGGATAGACAAATTATGAAACAGAAAGAGCCGCTCATGCTGGAGAGTAATAAATGGCTCTGCCATTTACGCTAGAGGTTAATAATTGGCAGAGCCATTTATGCTACCAAAAAATCCATTTATGCTAGACAACCTTCCCGGATAGACGAACTATGAAAAGGCAAGAGCCGTTTATGCTGGAGAGTAATAAATGGGTATGCCATTTATGGTAAGAAAAAAGCCACTTATGCTAGAAATTAGCCACTTCTGCTACACAACCTTCCCGGATAGACAAATTAGGAAAGAGAAACAGCCGTATATGCAGAAGAGTAATAAATGGCTCTGTAATTTGTGCTAGAGGTTAATAAATAGTAGAGCCATTTCTGCTAGACAACCTTCCCGGATAGACAAATTATGAAACAGAAAGAGCCGTTTATGCTGGAGAGTAATAAATGGCAGAGCCATTTCTGCGAGGAAAAAAGCGAAAAGAAAAAAAAGAAAAATGTCGACAGCAAAAATATCGAAAGTGCTATGAATACAGCCTCAGTACACCCGTTCATCAACAGTGCTTGAATAATGTGCAGAAGGATCTATGTCTTGCATTTACATATGATTAGTGAATATAAATGTGCATTAATAATACTTTCGATATTTTTTCTTTCGACGTTTTTTTATTTCTATGACATGCATGCATATGGTAATTTCTGTTCTGTAGTTTTTAGACAATTAATATATACGCATAAAAATTTGTTAATATTTGACAGATATTCACTTATTTGTTGACAAATAGTATGTAGCCTAAGGAAAATTAGGCATATCAACTCAGCTATAATAGTACAGTAAGAAGCGCTGAGGTAATTTGTCCAATTTTTTAACTGTCTATTTTGTGCTCATTTTGATCAGATAGGGCTTCTAATATGTCTGAAAAGTTATAACCTTCGGATTGGGTGTCTATTCCAGATGGGCTTCTATTATAGGGTGGGCTTCTATTCTGTAGGGGGTGTAACGGTCACGGAGGCCCCGTTACATGAAAACTGCGGAAAATACATGGAAATCTTAATCCGTCTGTAAGGATCGATGAGCTTGTAACTATATGAATACTAGAAACAACTTGTAATACAGTCCCGAACCTTTTTGTGTACGCGTTCCATGGAAATGAGAGTGTGGTTGTTGCTATACTCCGAATGGCTGTACTCCCTGTATAGAAAACATCCATCACTCTCATCCTTCCTATATTTCAACTTTCGTACTTTAAGCGCACAAATCATTTAGAGAAAAGATTCGGATCGAAATTATTAACCGTTATTGTTTTCCGGTACGAAAACAATAATTGTTATAATTTAATTTCCATTATTGATAATTGTTTCTTTAGTTACAAAAAGTTAACTTGTAACCAACTTTTATTTTCGATCATTCTTGTACATTTTTTGTGGTCTAGTTCAGACCTAATTATTATTTAGTTTTCTTTCTTTAACTTTTTCAACTTGTCAAATTCTTGAGAAAAATAAAATATTAAAAATTCCAAATTCAAACTTAAGTGAACGAAGTTGTACAGCGTCTGAATACGTACAGCGCTTACAGGGGGGTTTACTTCATCCGTTGTTCTTCTTATGAATTATGAACTAAAAACATACTCTTTTGAAATGGTAGAATTAAAGTGCTAGTGTGGGTTGATTCGATGGATTTTTGTAGTAATTGAGACAGCAATAGTTTATTGTTAACATTCGACATAGTATTAATAAATATGTTTTTTAAGAAAAGATAGAGTTCGTTTAAAAGCTCTTTTTGAAGAAAAAGTTGCAGCATGCCATAAAAACACAGCAGAAAGAATATGTTTTGAAAAATAATGTGGTTTTTATTTGTTTTATCAAGATTTAACAACTCTAAAACACAGCTTTTTTCAAACTATCGATTTTGGTGTCTATAAAACAGCAAAAAACAAAAATATTATCTCTTCATGCACTGAATAACAGCGACAGTGTATCAGCAGAGGAAAAGGTTGTTGTGCAGCTATACTTTATCTAGTTTTAGATAAAAAGAACTAAATGGAAATAGTACGGTGTTTACCATCAACATATGTAGGTTTAAACCCTTAAGTATTCGTTCATATTTTTTTATGTAATACGTTACTTAAAAGTCAACATATATTATCAAGACCAACAGAATGATAAATCTTTTTCTCGTATAGAATGAAAAAAAAAACTGAAATAGATTTTATCGCATATGCGATAAAATCTATGTGATATTATCACATACGAAAAGAAAGGAGGAGAAAAATAAATTATTTGTGAATCAGTGAAATTATCGGACAAGTGCCATTAAATTTCACAATATAAAGAAAACGGCAATCATAGTACCCGGATGAAGTTTAAAATATAATTCATTCCATGATTTTTACTAACATGAACAAGCGAAAATGGAAAAGAAACGGTCAAATCTTGAAACTTATTCTATTGTGTACCTTAGTGACAATGAAACAAACATTAAGATTAATGACATAACAAAGGAACTACGTAAAACAATTAACTTTGTCAAATCATTTAGCACCTGTCAACAATGTCAGAAATATATCGAACAGACTGAAGAAGATAATATGATACTCGTAGTAGCTCATACTTTATGTCGAGAAATTCTGTCAGCTATACATGATCTAAAGCAAGTATGTGCAGTGTACGTGCATGAAACAAAAGATGATTATTATGATTGGTCAATAATTTACAAGAAGGTATGATTATTTGAAAGTCTGACAAAAAACTAGTTTAAAAGATTATATCATTTATTTAGGTGCAAGGTGTATTCGTGAAATTTAATGATCTTTGTTCAAAACTTACAAAAGATCAGCTGATACGTGAAAAGAAAACGGAAAATACAATATCTGTAATAATATTTAATCGAAATGAAACTGATACAACACATATGAATTTAAAAGTCGATAATGGGAACTTTATGTGGTTTCAATTATTCATTGAGACCCTATTACGTATGGAACAAACAATAGAATCAAAATTAGAACTTGTTGAATTATGCAAGGAATACTATACGGGAAATCAACGGGGTCTAGAATTATTACACGAGTTTGAGGAAACATATCGTTCAGATGATGCAATTCGGTGGTACACAAGGGAATGTTGTTTTTATCGCCTATTGAATAAAGCATTACGTATTCGTAATATAGAATTGTTATTTTCATGTCGTTTTTTAATTAGTGATATATTTAAACAACTGAAAGAAGCTCAACGATCAAATCACGATCACTTAATTATTCAAGGTTATAGAGGCCAATTAATCTCAAAAGATGAACTAATTAAAATGGAATCAAGCATCGGAGAATTTATATCAATTAGTAGTTTCTTATCAACTAGTCGCAGTCGTGAACATGCACTTGGATTTATTGCATCCGGTGTTGGTGATGACGAAGAGCACTTAGCACCGGTTTTATTTGAGATTCAAGCGCATACATATCTTCAGGATACAAAACCTTTTGCTGATATAAAACATTTGAGTTATTTTCATGACGAAGAGGAAGTTCTATTCATGTTAGGAACAGTGTTTCGAATAAAAAGCGTTATCTACGATAGTGTATGGACAGTTCAATTGACATTATGTAGTGAAAATGATCATGAATTAAAAGAAATTTTTGCGTACATTAAAAAAGAAATGTCAATAGAGGCCGATTTTTTTTCACTTGGTCGTTCACTTCGAGTAATGAGCGAGTATAAAATGGCTAAGAAATACTATGAACGTATACTAAATGAGTTACTGATAGCAAATGCTGATTACACGAATATGGCTCATTGTTACGACGGTTTGGGTTTCGTTGCCTTAGGTGAAGCAGACTATCAACTAGCACTTAAGAATTATGAAAAAGCATTTAGTTTACGATTAAATTCATTCAATAATCTAAGCGATCCTCATATTGGTTACAGTCATTTATTTATTGCTACTGTTCTTGATAAATTAAAAGATTATGATCAATCCTTAGCTCATTATCGAGAGACATTAAATATTTGGTTGAAATGTTATGGTTATTATCATGAAAATATTGCATGGTGTTTAGGTAACATGGGCAATGTTTATTGTCTGCAAGAACAATACAAGATGGCTTTAACGAGTATCGAACAGAGTCAAGAAATTATGGAGAAAATTTTACCTCAGGAACATCCAAACAGAGCTTGGAGTTATTACAATTTAGGTGATGTATTTGTATCTCAAAATAATTATTCAAAAGCTCTTTTCAATTATCGAAAAGCTTTAGAACTTCGTTTGAGAACTCTACCATCAAATCACTACTCAATCGCTGATACATATAACTCTATTGGACATGTCTACGAACTAACTGGGGAATATGAACTTGCTCTAGAACAATATAAACAGGCATTAAAAATACGACAATCATTACTTTCGTCCACTCATCCGTTTATCTTGATAATAAACGATAATATTCAAAGAATGATCGAAAGAATCAGATGATATGCAGAAAAGATCTGAATCTGCTAGAACGGTTTATATTTGCCAGTCTAGTACCCAGTTCGAGTAGAAGCAAAAGCTTAATAATAATACTTCCCAAATTAAGATTATATGTTAGTACTAGCTCATAAATTTGTCATCCATTTGGTAGTTCTAATGTTAAGGGCTAGTAAACTACAACTACTATTTAATTACAATTTATTTTTTCAAGAACTAGATGTTGATCAAGAATATGTTTATTAATTTAAAAATTGTTTATTGTGTTTAAAAATTTAGATTTTTCGACTTGGGTTTTTAGTAGGAACGCTCAAACAATATCTTTTTATTCAGCGTTAAAAACTGAATTAAAAAATGATAACAAATCCATTTCGAAGGTAAACGCTTGTCCACCATGGACGTTCAAATGGATCATTTGGAAAAGAAGGATTTGTCATTTGTAAATCTATCTAGTTTTTTGTGTCAAGGGATCAGAACTTAACTTCTAACCAATAAAAATATCATATTCGGAGTCGACTAATGTGTATGTCCAAATTTTTAATTGATTTTCAGTTTTGGGTGAAAATCTCGATAATTCTTCACGTGAATAATTGACAATAACAAAACCAGTCGGACAGGCAGAGCTGAGAGTCTAAAATTCAAAATGCCTGCCAGGTTTTTCAGGTGAACGCTTAAAATGTTCAGATTTTTCCAAAATATTCAGGTGAATAAAAAAACAGCTTTCTTCTAGGCGCTGAAAAACATTTTTTTGTGGTAAACAAGGCTGTGGCGCATCTGTTTATAAAAAATAGGCTTGGAGTTTCCTGTGGAAGCGGATTTCTAGAAAATATTTCAGAAATCACTATATTTTCAAGCAATCACTAAACCTTCAAACTTTCAGACATGATCGAATCAAAAAAGATTGCTTCTGGTATTCTCTGCATAATCCCCGCAAACCTGACCATTGATCCACAACCTTTTCCGGATGGCTTCGGTTTTTCTGACAGTCGTGGAATTGACTTTGGACCTGCGAGAAATTCCCATAATTAAAGGAAACAGATTATATCCTCCCCTCTTTGTCGTGTGTTGCTTTAGTTTAATAGTACGCGTTCAGACTTACAAAGTCTTCGCGTAGGCTCGAGCGGCGCTCCGAAACAAAATTATTTCAAGGAAGTTGTTAAAAATCTAAATGCACATACTACCGCTGCAGGAAAACAAAGTCTGAGAGAAACTTTTTCTAGTTTTTCCTAATCGAGGCGGAAAGCATATTTCCACAAATCAAAATTTATCTGAATTATCATTCAGCAGGGATATCAAACGTTATGCGAGAGCTCAGTGGGGATCCAAAGTCGTCGTATTACTAAGCGGCATGAGAAAGACCTGACCACTTCAGTCTTTTCTGGATGTATATACACATATATTATATAATCTTTCTTCCAAGACATGCAACAATAGGATTTACCACTTAAGTTTTCTGTACGTTAATTCGACATTTATAATAAAAAATTTTGACGGATGATATATAAACAGAAACAAATATAATTACTTCAGAATAAAACTTGTCGGGACAGTAGAAACCAAAGAAAGCGTATATGAAGAGGTAAATTTTGTAAAGTTCCAGGTATTTCAGACCTTTTGCCGAAATGTCAAGTGGTTTTCAGGTTTTTTTCAAAAGATATCCGGTAATTCGGGTATTTCAGAGGGAATCTCATCCTGGATACGATGGAAATACACAATGACTGACTCTATTTTTCATCCTGCTTCCGAATATGAAACGTTTATTGCCTTAAAATTGAGTTACGATGGAGAAAATCGAAATATTACGAGAAAAATACTGGTTTTGCAGAAACATCTCTAATAACAGGACACTTTTTTCTCTATATTATATATATCAAACTCTAGTTCGACAAATTCTCTATCAAACCGTACATTTACTGTAGCGACCGGATGAGAAATGCTGACACAGAAAATCTGAGACTTTTTCGATGTAGGAGATCGATTTCCATAGCCAGAAGTATTTCCCAATATACTTGACCCAAGAACGATCGCCTAGACAAACGATACCTAGACATATTCCCCTGCTCACTCTATGTTGTAGAATCATAAACGCCACAGCCATTTATGCTAGACAACCTTCCCGGATAGACAAATTACGGAAGAGAAAGAGCCCTTTCTGTCGGAGAGTAATAAACGGCTATGCCATTTATGCTTGAGGTTAATAAATAGCTATACCATATACGCTGGGAACAAAGCCCTTTATGCTACGAAAACAGCCATTTACCCTAAAACTTAGCCGTTTATGCTAGACAACCTACCCGGATAGACAAATTATGAAAGAGAAACAGCCGCTCATGCTGGAGACTGATACATGGCAGAGCCATTAATGCTACGAATAAAGCCATTTCTCCTAGGAACAAAGTCTTTTATGCTACAAATTAGCCATTCATGCTAGACAACCCTCCAGGGTAGACAAATTATGAAATACAAAAAGCCCTTTATGCTACAGAGTAATAAGTGGCTATGCCATTTATGCTCAAGGTTATGAAAGGGCTATGCCATTTATGCTAGAGGTTAATAAATGCCACAGCCGTTTATGCTACAGAACCTTCCCGGATAGACAAATGAAAAAAAAAAGAACCATTTATGTTGGAGGGTAATAAATGACAGAGCCATTTATGCTAAAAAAAAATCCATTTCTCCTAAAAATTAGCCATTGGTGCAAGACAACCTTCTCGGATAGACAAATTTTGAAAGAGAAAGAGCCGTTTATGCTGGAGAGTGATAAATGCCAGAGCCACTTATGCTAGGAACAAAGACATTTGTACTAGGAAAAAAGCGTTTTTTACGTTTATGCTGGCGAGTAATAAATGGCTATGGCATTTATGCTAGAGGTTAATAAATGCCAGAGCCATTTACGCTGCAAGAGAACCTATTTATGCTAGACAACCTTCCCCGGCAGACAAATGAAAAAAGGAGAGGCGTTTATGCTAGGAACAAAGCTATTTCCCGCATAGACAAATTTTAGAAGAGAGAGAGCCGTTTATGCTAGCCGTTTATGCTGGAGAGTAATAAATGGCAGAGCCAGTAATGCTAGAAAAAAAAGGAGTTATGCTAGACAACCTTCCCGGATAGATAAGTTATGAAAGAGAAAGAGCCGTTTATGTTAGAGAATGATAAATGCAAGAGCCATTTATGTCAGGAACAAATCCATTTGTCCTAGGAGAGTAATAAATGGCAGAGCGATTAATGCTACGAACACAGCCATTTATGCTTGAAAAAAAGCCGTTTATCCTAAACATTAAGCATTTATGCTAGACTACCTTCCCGGATAGACAAATTATGCAAGAGAAAGAGCCGTTTATGCTGGAGAGTAGTAAATGGCAGATCCATTTATGCTAGTAACAATATCGATGTGATAGCTTGTCTGTGTTAATCTGTATTAGTTAAAGAAAAACCAGAAAGACGCTAACGCTGTGAGAAAAAACGGTCAAAACTCTCACAGTGTTACCGTTTTGCTGTTTTTTCTTTAATTATTACAGATTAAGACGGACAAGCTATCACGTCTTGTAGAGCGAGTAATTTTCTCGAAACTTGTATACTTGTTCAATGTTTACCAGCTCGTCTTCACTCTTTTACACACGCTTTTCAGATAGGCCAAAAATCGATTTTTACAGCAGCTGTATTTTCATAACGAATCAACGTTCAGAGTCGAGACACGTCATTTTGTAGAGAAATATTTAATCTATTTAATACTTTAAGACCACAAAATTATACTTAGGGTTGACCAAAAGTTCGTAGAACGGTGATTCCGCCCTCCCCTCCTCACACCGTGATCAAAACTTTTGATCAGCCCTAAGTATATTCTGATAGCGCTTGAATTTCTCTATCGTCCTATATATTTGTCTACTGTCCTGCATTTATCTATTGCAAAAATAACTTGAGTACAATGAAGACACCCTCAATTGACAAGCGTGTCTGCATGATAGTCAAATTATTCTTCGGCACAGAAATGCAAGATAGAACAAAAATATACAGGATGATAGAGAATTTGAAGCTCTATCAGAATGTTTAATTCCTTTTAGAAAGAGTTATTTCCATAGTATCTATAATTTGAAAAAGCATAAAAAAGTAGCGAATTTTAGTACTTGTCAATTGAGGGTGTCTTCATTGTACTCAAGTTATTTTTGCAATAGATAAATGCAGGACAGTAGACAAATATATAGGACGATAGAGAAATTCAAGCGCTATCAGAATATACTTAGAGCTGACCAGAGGTTTTGATCACGGTGTGAGGGGGAGCGAGCATCATCGTTCTACGAACTTTTGGTCAACCCTAAATGGTAATTAAATCATTTATTATACTTGCCAAATATGAGTTTAGCTAGCAGTTGGTAGTTTTTACGTTTATAAAGAGAAATATTTGTTTAAAAAGTACAGCTTTTTTTCAAGCTTTTACTAACAGATGAACTCGAATAAATCAGATCGCCTCTGTTCATACCACTGTTAGATAGAGTATGAAGATTTCATTCTATTACCAATAGATAAAGAATTTTTCACTCTACAGAAGCTTCTACACTCAATAATTGCACGATTAAATACTTCGGCACTTGAATAAATAAGACAAAGATCGATGAGTTATTAGACCATCCATAATATGAGAATTTTAACGTCTCTATCTCGTTTGATTTTCTGCTTTTCTATTTTTTTTCACAAGGTTTTCTAAATGGAATCATAATCTTCCATGAAAATAGTATGAAATCTTGTTAGAAACAAGAAATACTTGTTTTTTTATTTGGTACAGTTATCATTAATACAGTTAGCGGCGCTGTCTTTACGAAAGAAAAAGGAGAGTAGCGGTAAGCTATACTAGAAGTTCAATTGAGATCAATTAAATATGACTGAAATCTGATCCAGAACTCGAAACTTTCACAAGAAATCCCACTCCCACAGATCAGAAATCTCTTTTGGGATGATTTGAGTGGTCCTGAAATGGAAAATTTTCCACGAGTGCTCAAAACTATTTTGATTTTCCGAAGCGAATGTCAGTTGTGAAAAAACTTCAGATATTTTCAAAAACAATAAAAATACTCAAAACTTACAACAGTTGAGTTTAAAGTACTTTCTAGCGCCTGCAACATCGCTGTGCGTTGAACGCGTGTTCACACGACAGTAATGCTGTGCTACTCAAAAGGCTCAATAAGATTAACAAAACAGTATTTTTACTTTATTGTAGAAATACAAATATATCAGAAGGTATAATTCAGCAAAGATCAGAAAAAATTGTACCCGTACTCGGAAGACCCCGTACTCGCCCGCCTCTGATAGAATCAGTGAGTTCGCATCTTTACCGAGAGTTTGAAAGTAAAATCCGTCGTTCTACAGGAATAATTATTTTTATATCTTAACCATAACAAACTAAATTGTGTTCTATTTAAGTTTCAATTATCTTGATACGTTTATCGTTTATCTACTACCACCTGAACATTGTGAATAAGTCGCATCTGAACTCATTTCTGTCTTATTTCTTTGACCTCAAATGTCAGCAAGGTATTTTGAAAAAACAATTTTTAACAAATTTGCTGATCATTTAAACAAAAATTTTTTTTTCATAATTCTCAATTTCGGTTCTGGCCAAAATCATCCACTGTCGATGCCCTGACATTTCTAAATCAAAAGATCTTTCAAAAATTAGTTAAAAAAGCTTCTATATGCTCTGCTCTGTCGTGGCATCTTTTTTGATTTCGCTCAAGCTTTTGACTGCGTCCCCCATCACATACTTTTTACACAACTTGGTGCAGCAAAAGTTAAGAAAAATTTGTTTACGTCTTTCTCTTCTTACTTTGGTAACAGAACACATCAAGTCAAAGTGAGTAGTGTTGTTTCTAACACGTTTTTGGTTATTTCAGAAGTTCCTTAAAGGAGTTTGCTTGATCCGTTTTTATTTCTTCTATTTATAAACGAGTTGCCTAACATTTTCAATTTTCAACAATTACAGTTATGTTTGTGACGATATTTTTTTCTTGTATACCACTTACAGATATAAATAACTTCTCGCATGTTAGAGAGGAAGTGGAGAAAGTTAGCTCCCCTTATACGCTGCTACTGAACGGCAAACTTAATTTGCAATTTTCAATAGAATAAATACATAGACCAGATAGTACTAATATGTAGAAAAATATTACGTACAATCAATCGTACATCTTGGGATACCCCTCAAAAAAATAAGAAAACATCTTTATTTAACTTATGTTAAAGCTGTGATAGCGTATGCTTCAGTTGTTTTTTGTCAGTTCTTTTAAATCGCACATAGAACCTTTAAATTCTGTTCAAAGTCTCGCTACTAGAATAATTACTAAAAACTTTTATTTTTTAACTTAAATTCTTACGAGTAGTCTAGGTTTCAAGACTCTTTAACAGCGAAGGAAAATAGCTCGTTTATAATTCTTGTGGAAAATCATAAATAAATAAAAAGTTAAGTCTCGTGCTTCAACCTTCTTTCAGAGACTAGACATTCATCAAATAACCTTCCCACTGCTCATTTGAAAATTATTGCGAGTGGAAAAAATTCTTTTACAGCTTCTCTCGAACATCAAAAGAGTGGAACAAACTTTCACCTCATGTCTCCGACTTTTCTATTTTATCTATGTTTACTCATACTCTTAAACAATACATATGTAACCAAAAATTAAAAACCAGAATTTCACATTGCAGCCCATCTAAATCATATTTTATGTTTTTTACATCTATCATTCTAGTCTTATAAATAGATTTTTGTCAATTCTGAAATAACTTTTTCTGTCATTCATATGCCAAGTACTCTTTTTACGATGTAACGATTTATAGAAAATTCTTTATGATTTTTCCTTTGTTATAACCATGGATAGCAAAACTAAATTTGATAGTCTTGGAATGATATAGTTATTATTGTGAAAACAAACTAAAGACAAGTGAGAGTAGGATGAAACAAACAAACACTTATAACATTCTGTTATTTCAAACAAAACTTATTTCTAAGTTTATAGAAGAACGCATAAATACTTTAAGCGCTGAATGTACACATACACACACACATACATAAAAAAAGACAAACATTGCCTATTTGAAAAAAGTATTTCAAAAAAAAAAATTTAGTTAGAGATTTAGAGATTAACGAAAGAAGTAAAAATTTCTTTCAAAAAGACAGAAAGATAATAATTGCAATAATCCTATAGATAAACAAAAAAAAAAGTATTGCCTATTTTATTTTCTTACGTTCGCTTTGCGAATTTTTTACTATTACTGATGATGATTCATTATTGACTTGATTATGATGTCGTTGTTCTTTCTCAATTGGTTTTTCTTTTTCTATTGTTTTTGGTGTTTTTTTTAAATAGGATACATAGAAAAAATGAGCAAATAACAAAAAATAAACAAAGTACATAGCAAATGATGCATATATATTTGAATAGGCAATTTTGCATGGACGATTTTCGCCTTTATATTCATATGCTTTATAGTTCACATAACAACCAACGAACATTTGAGATAATTGAAATATTGTAACGATTTGTTGTACAAATTTTGGAATATTAAAACGCATAGCACGAAAAGCATAATATGAATACATTAGAGCATGAACAGAATAATTCATAAATACAAACCATCTTCCACTCGATGTCCAATCATGATAACTGAAAAATAATAAATTATAACAAGTATTTCTTTTATAAACTAAATTATATTATTATTTTTTAGTCTTACCTGTACCATGTGTAAATAAGTACTGTCGCATGATGAAACCAATGTAAAAATATTAATTTTTGTTTTCGTAAAACAATAAACAATGTATCAAGCAATTCTGGAACTTTTGAAACACTAAATATCCATATCCAATATCCAGTAATACCATAAATATTACTACGATCACACATTGAATAATAAATACTTTCTTTATGAATTGTATAAAGCATTTCTGGTACACATCGAATCATACCCCAAATACTAAATATGGCTAATGAACAATTCCATATTATTAATAATATGCGTAAATCATATTTTTCACGTTTTTCCATTAATGCACGGCCAAAAAAGATTAAAAATACATAAATAAGTGAATAGACAATACTTAACCACCAATATGTATGCATCCAATTACGAATAGAATGAGCATAGTTTGTATCAAAAAATTGTTTTTCAAAATTGAAAACAAGTGGATGATGTAAACCTATATAAAAATGACATTAATTGTTATTTTAGATAACGTTTTTTTTTTTGATTGATTATAGGGAACTTACCGATTGGATCTTTCACCCAAGGTGTAATACGTGGATTTAAGTATGTTTGTATTATGGAATGATTAATAAATGACATTAGATCAGTCATTTTTCCTGATATTGAAATAGCGACGAAAGATTTAAAAAAAATTAAACTAAACGTTCTACGAGGAAAAAAATACCTAAAATAGTAATACTTATAGTTGAATGAACAAATGATAGATATCTATCTATTGATCCACATCCAATCAATACAGTACAGATTAAGTTAGATTAAAAATAGAAGAATAATACAGTAGAAGAAGAATTGTCTCATTTTTGATACTAAAATAAGAAAGAGTGGCCCAGACGTCCTGTCTCGATTTGAACAATGTAAATCGAGACAAGACTTCTGGGCCACCCTTTATACAATCAAATATATTCAAATAGATTTACAATTTCTATACCCTAACAATGATATGATACTTAATAAACGCGTTCAAAGAAAATACCACATGTGTATTATTGAAATTGCATGTATATTTCGATTCTGACTGTCACATAGGTTCTTAAAAACACAGTTTTTTTTCTATCATGCATACATCATCTATATATACTATGCTTCTTAAGTCAATAACAAATTAAAAATTTTTGATCACAATTTTCTCTAGTAAATCAACATGATTTAGAAGAAAATCATACGATATTATAAAGAGATAATATCTATGCAAGAAAAAACTAAAATATATCATATTTCAACAATTATTGTTGACATTACAATTTGATACAAATAATGTTCTCTGCACACTCAACAGCATAAAGAATGATCACTGCTCTCACTCTCATCAACCATTTATTTATTTCTCAATACTGTCGTCACTTTTCTGCTGATTCAAAAACTGTTTTTAGTCTTTTAGCGTTTTTCATCAGAGATGGTCAATTCCAGCTACCTTCAACTCCAACGCCAAGAATCCCAATTTCAACTCCACATAAGCCTTTTGACTACTCTACCATTTATTTTATCTCGTTGATTTTATTGCTTTAGAAGAAATGTCTTAGTAGAACATTTCGGTTTGATATAATGAAGAGAAAAAAGTGGAAAATTTACAGAGTTAGGACAGTTTTTGAAGCGTAATCATGGAGTTGAAGTTGAGAAAAATTTAGAATCAATTCAGCTAATTCTGCTAAACAAATCCTCAATTCTGGAGATGGAGTTGCCCATCTTTGTTTCTCACAACATTATTGAAACATAAACTATAGAACAAATAATTATTCGTATCCCAAGCAAAAATCATCTATGGAGAAAATGTAGATACATTTCGTTTGTAATTGGACGATACGCGACTATTTATCATCTAGACTACTAGTTGGAAAAGGGACTTTTAACTAGATGCGTCTGCATGTGTAACTAGCAATAGTGAAACTGAGCAATTATCGAGTAATAAATCGGTAGTTGCAACTGAGGAGAAATCTGTCAATCGTCCGATTACTACATTTCCGCTGTGATTAACCAACAATTGCAATCGAGTAAAAATCTAGTAATCTCGATAAATCGGGCGACACTAGATTATTTTTTGATGCTTGGGATGGACCTACTTCATTTCTCGCGTAGTTAAATTATTTAACAATTAAATTATAAAACGTAAATGTCAACGAAAATACATTCTCATTTCATACTCTTTAATACGTTTTGATAAACGATGATAGAAATACCTTTTTCAAGAGAGAAAGTGAACTTTATTTGTGAAGTATTTGATCCAAAGACAAAAGCAACTTTAGAAGAGTTATATAATAATTATTTACGTATTATTTCAAATATTTTATAATCAAGAAAGCTCTTACTCTTTTGATACGTTTTGTTCTTCGAAAAAAAAATTGACCTTTGTGACTATCTTCGTTTCTCTTCTCATCCTTCTGATTTATTTCCATTTCAAAAACTTGTGAAGTGAAACGGAAAAGGTAAGAGAGACCGTTTCGAATCATCACCTTATGGTGGTAAGAGGCTTTTAAAGCGAATAGTGACCTCAAAGCTAGAGAAGGAAAAAGAAGAAAAAAGAAATAGAATATAGAATGAAGTATTAATAAAATGTTATTCTTTCTTGTTTTATGAATATATTATATGTTTTTGTATCAGATATAGAAGAGAGACGTTACATCTTATCTACTCATTGCTCTTTTCACAATTATTAAAATGAAAGTAACATATAAGTAGTCTCAATATCAATAAAAAATTTGAATTTGTGTTGTTGTTATTTATTATTATTAAATTAGAACTAAAAACATGTTTTAAAAAGTCAATAAAAGTTCATTCAAATAATGAAACTATCACACTAAACATTAAAAAAAAAATGTTTTTTTCAGATATGATTAATGACTAATCAAACAAATAAAACGATTAATAATGAGATTAAGATAAATGACACTATATATGTTACCCTAATAAATCGTTGAGAACTAATAATCTTGTCACAATTTAAAAGTAAAAAACATCCATAAACGATACCAAATATATAAATGATACACATAACTCTCAATAAGAGATTGTAAAAGAAAATAAAAACTTAATTACTTCAAAAATTGTAAACAAAAACATTTCTATATAAAAAATTAAAAGTATCGGAATAAACTTTCTTGTACGAGGAGAGAGATAAACATAATGGTACCTTTACGCAAGTGCATCTAGTCCGAGAAGATTTGACTCTATGTATCATGTAGTAATACTAGGAAAAATATGTCAAGTTCTCGATTTATTTCCTATAAAAGTATATTTCAGTTTATTATACACTTACAAAATGAACGATTGTTTTTTTCGAAATAGGTAAGACTCCAAGCTCAAGATTCTTTCTAAAATGTTAGAGAGTTAGAACTAAACTTTAAGAAAAAGTAGACAGTTTTATAAGCGCTTCTCGCTTGTAGTATAAAAAAATTTAAAAGTGTGTAATACTCACGACTGTTCGATGCTCACACACTCAAGTTGTTTCTTTTACATGACTTTTGAAGTTTTTACATATTTTTCGTAGTATTATATGATACATAAAGGCGGCTTATGATTCATGTAATACCGGGTGCAATTGTTTGGAAGTACCCATAAGCTACTGTTTTGATAAAATATACTACACACACATAAAATTATTAAGAGATAAGAAAAATAAAAAAAAAATGGACAAAATCGCACCGTTTTGTAAAAATGGACGGAGAAATAATAAAAAAAATTTTTTTTTCTAAAATGAAATCTGCACAGATATATCACAAAATTAATTTGCTATTGTTGTGGTGGTGTTTTATTTTGTCTTAATGTATTAGTCGAATGTCCATAATTTTGTACGTACTGTTCTAATTCATTTTGTAAAAAAGCAATACGTTGTTGTAAATAAATAATCTGTTGTTTTAAAGATTGAATTGTATTTTCTAAATCTGATCGTACATCATTTGATAATAAACCTTTTAAATTATTTTCATGTGATATTTTACATTCAATTAGTTCATGTTTATGTTGTTCCGATAAATAAGATAATTTTCGTTCTAATTGTTCTTTTTTTAACGTTAATGTATGAAAACTTTTTTCCAAATTTTTCATACATGAATCAAATTGCTATAGATAAAAATAATTGTTTCTCTATTAGAAATGTACCATTTTATTTTTCAAATAAAATTTACTTACCGATTTAATTTCATTTTTTTCCTTAATACATTGATCATTTAATGAATTAAATTGTTTATCATAAAATGATTTTATTTTATTTTGTTCATCTTTAAGTACTTGTATCATTTTCTGTTGATCATTTATAATCGATTGTTGTTTAACATTTCGTTCTTGAAATTCATCTAGATGAGAAAAAAGAAACAGATGATAAATAATTATAAACAAATACAAATAAATATGTGGGGATATCGGTGTTTCATTAAAAAAACTTTTATTAAAAGCAAGTTCATTCATTCAAATTTTTAATAAACCTTTCGATGTCTTGGTGACTGAATTTTCATCAAAAGTTTTTATGAAACTTCAAATCACAGTCACTTTGCAGAAGACATTTTAATGAAAGTTCAGTGAATAGAATATAAGTTAAAGACCCGAAAATAGGTGTATTTAAACGGAAAAAAATATTTATGAAGTGAAACAGTATCTTTTGCTAAACGATATACAGTGGTCAACAAAATTGATTATACACGCCTCATATTAACTTATAACTGATATTTGTCCGAAACGAAATCATCTGTAAAGTTCGGAGCTTCGCTAAAATGTTGCAAATTTATTGTAGTTTATTTGCTGAAAATAGGAAATGCTCATG